CTTCAAACAATTTCTGAGTGCTCAGAATTTATAAGTCTAAAATGAGCATTTCTTTCGTTATAAATATGAGTCTGAGACCAGTCAGCCAGACTGACTAATTTCGCACTCTTTTGGTGTCATAAATTCTGAGTTGAACAAAAGTAACAAAATTTACATAAAAGTAAAAGTTTATTAATAATCAAAATTATATATAAAAAATATTTGTTTTTAAGACTCAGAAAGCTTCATGTTTCAGACCGTAATATAACTCCTAATTTGGACTCATATTGGCATGCCCTTTTAAGAAGTCAAATATGTTTATTCTGGCTCTTTTTTTGACCTCATAATGAGGGTTACAACTCAGAATTCTGAGACTTTTCTGACTCTAAAATATGTCCGAATGTATTTTGCTGTTGATAAAAATAACAATTTTTTACTAAAGCATTGAATTTAGTAAAAATTTTGTTAAAATTTATTTCAAATTTGTTTGCGCGTGAGATTAGTTAGATTTTGTGTGACTTCAAAATAATTTCTCATTTTCATTGAAATTATTTTTTTAGTTCCAACTATGACCTGTTGTTGATTAAACCGTATGGAGATTTTTAGATGTGAATTACAGGGCAATTCTGGATAAGATTAGTTGCAACATAGTTTGAAAGATTTTGTCTTCTTCTTGTGAAAGTCTTACAAAACAAAAGCTCCTTTGGCAACTTTTATGGTGAAAAGCTCTTTTGATAGAAAGCAGTTCCAACAGTGCTACTTTTCCCTTATTGTTTTAAATTAAATTTGTTTAAATTAAATTATCTTTTAATTTTCAGATTTTATTGTTTTAGAAACTTTTTTTATGCATTTTTGTCTCTTTTTTAGTTAAATTTTTTTGCTTTTTAATTCAATTTTCTTCTTATGTTTGGAATCGGTTGTTTTAAAATAAAAAATATTTTTTACATTTTATTTGGTTTTTATGAACTTGTTTTTTAGTTTTTTATTTTATTTTTTAACTTAAGTTTCCCTTACTTTTTAGATTTTATTGTTAAAGTTGTTTAGTAATTTCATTTAATTTTTAGGAAATTATTTTATTTTGTTCCTTCGTTTGATTTAATTTTTCTCTCTCTTTTAATTGAATTTTCTGGTAATTTTCTTTTAATTTTTAGAGTTTATTGTTGTAAAAAGAAAAATATATTTTTAAAACAATTTTATTTTTAGAAAACGTATCGCTAAGAAATGGACAGGATAACAGTCTTTCAATTGGTCTATCGAAATGCAGAAAAGAGCTTTCAAGAACTGAAAGACAGTTGCCATAATTGCGCTGTAAACGCTTTCAAATCGGAAAACTTTTTTATTTACGCTTTTAAATTATTCTGCTATAAAGAAAACTATTTTGTCATTTACTTATACTTACTGCCGGTTTCACCGGCAATTTAAGTAAGAAATTTTTTTCCCCTCTTTCAGTTTTCATATAAAACACAAATAAAACAAACATAATTTTTCACGTAAAAAGCTTCCGCTAAACTGGCTAGTAATTACTATTAACTGCACTAAAAATAATAAAGAGTCAATTTTTATTTTTATACTAATTTTTAGTAGTTAAAGTCGTCAAGGAAATTTCAAAATCTCATAAAAAACATACTTACGTACTTACATAAATAAGTCAAAAATGCATTTATAGAAAAAAATTTAAAAAATGTCAAGTTAATATGTAGTATTGATGTTGTAAAAATGCAAATGAATGAGTATGGGGAACTGGGCAGGTAAGATAAAAAAAACATACACACTCACACATACATATGTATAAATTTTTGCACCTAACGGATAATAATAGCACAAATCCTATATACATAGTACATATGTATGTATTTTATATATTTTCATAGAAGCAGAATTTTAAACAATTCCCACACAAGAAACTTACAGGTGTTAATATATATACTTAAGTGAAAAGGAAAAAATGGAAAGTGATGAAAGTACTTAAGAAGTTGTAACAATCAATAAAATCATAATTTACTTTACGCTTAAATTAAAGTTTTTTTATCAATTATATAAATAGGCAATCATGTTTCCTTTACACCCCTTTTACGGCTAAACTGTACTTCTAAGGTATAAACAATTATATATCATTAGAAAGGTATTTTGATGCTTATGTGCAGGCAATTTTTAAAATTTCAAATTAGTTTAAAATAGAGCGAAAAAATCAATTCAAAAGTCACACCAATACCAATGCCATACATGTACATGGTTGGGGCGGAAATGCCTCCTAAATGTATGCTTTAATAGTGATAGTGATAGCTAAGCAGCAGTTTAGGAATAAGATGTAGGTATGTATGTACATGAATAGATTAGCCTCAAACAAGGATGAAGATAATTTTGAGTATGGAGAAGAAGAAAGGGATAAATACAGAAATTAAAATAAAAGTAAAGAAACCTAAATATAAAGACAAAGAGGAAGGAAAATTTAAATACCTAACCTAATAACAATAGTGGGGGTGAATATGTAAATGAAGAAAAGAATGGACATATTTAGATCAGGATAAAGGAAAGGATAAAGATGAAGAAGAAGATGAAGACCAAGACGAGGAAGAAGATGAAGATGAATATGAAGATAAGGATAAAGATAACTTATCTTAACTTAACCCCTTAACTTAACTTAACTCACCTCAACTCATCTCACCTCCGCTTAAAAACTTACTCCACCTGAGTTCGCTACACATTAATTCACCACACCTTAACTCCCCACACCTAAATCCACCACTACTTCACTCCCCACACCTAAATTCACCACACCTAAATCCACCACACTTTAATTCACCACACCTTAACTCACCACACCCCAACTTTCTCACTACATCTTAACTCACCACACCTTAATCTACCACACCTTAATTCACCACACCTCAACTTTCTCACCAAACCTTAACTCACCACACCTTAATTCACCACACCTCAACTCACCACAACTAAATTCACCACACCTCTTAAGACCACCACACCCGAATTCATAACACCGTAACTCCCACACGCAATTCCACCACACTGCAACTCACCACACCCGATTTCAACACATGACATGATATCACTAAAGAAACAATATAAAGAAAAAGAGGAAGGAAAATTTAACTACCTAACCTAATAACAATGGTGGGGGTAAATACGTAAATGGAGAAAAGAATGAAGATATAGATCAGGATAAAGGAAAAGATAAATATGAAGACGAAGGTGAACACGAAGATGAAGATGAAGATGAAGATGAAGATGAAGATGAAGATGAAGATGAAGATGAAGATGAAGATGAAGATGAAGATGAAGATGAAGATGAAGATGAAGATGAAGATGAAGATGAAGATGAAGATGAAGATGAAGATGAAGATGAAGACGAAGATGAAGATGAAGATGAAGATGAAGATGAAGATGAAGATGAACATGAACATGAACATGAATATGAACATGAACATGAACATGAACATGAACTTGAACATGAACATGAACATGAACATGAAGGTGTAGATAAACATAAACATAAACAGTAAAAGCGATAGAGATAAAGATAGAGAGGAAGAAAGTGATAGGGATAAAAAGGAAATACAACTGAAGAATGTGCGATGTTATATTGTGATGTGTTATGCTACATATGTTATGTTATTGAATCTAATGCTATTCTATGTTATGTTATGCTAAGTACTAAGCTAAACTCCCCTCCACTTAACCCATTCCAACAAATTTTATTTCAGCTCAACTCCACTCACATAAACTATCCTTAATTTTAGCGGTTGAATTTCAACCGCTGCACAGAGGGTTGAAATCCATCAAAAGTGGCGATTAATTCAAAAGATGAACTTTAACTTTCACAACCGTATTTGGTACCGGGTGAAAGAAGATAAAATTCTACATCACTAGTTGCCAAAATAAAAGTTCTTAGTTGTTTACTTCATTTGCAGTGTGTCTTCAAAGTTCAGTAATTATTATTATTTTTGCGCGCATTGGTTAAAAGTGAAAATTTGTATACCTCAAGTGATTATTTTTTTAATTAAGACTTCTAAAAGTGAAAGTTTTATTATGGAGCCGTCAACTTCAGGTATTTGAGCATATGATAAACATTTGTTTGTTTAGATAAATGTTTTGGAAAAAAAAAAAAAAAAAATAAATGAAATTGGTCCAAAAATGGGGTATTTTTGGTGTTTATATTGAGTTTCAACAACTTTCCGGGTGAAATCGGGAAAAACCGCTTATATGCTCTTGAAGTATGATATTTCAGCTAATAAATCCCAAAAAATCTTTTTGCAGTTGTTTGCAATTTTTTGACTTATTAAAATTTTTGTAAAAGAACTCCAGTTGCAAAAAACCTAAGTGAAAAAAAAACAAACAAAAAAGCGCGTTGTTTTTATTGTCTTTTGTCTTTATATTCCGTTTAGTAGTTGTTATTGAAGCTACAGAGTGTGCAGTTTATTAGAGATGGGTGCGTGACTAATTTTAAACCACGCGCACTCACGAAAAAAAAATTAATTCCGGTTTATTCACAACGAATAAAATTTTTCACATATTTTCTGACATCACAAGTTTGAATTTCACTCACGAGCGAGAAATTATGTCGTAAATAGTTAATATTTATTTTATTAAAGCTTAGTGCATAAATACTTAGAGCTTCGTCACTATAAAAATAAATTTAGTCACGCTTCCATCTCTACCCTACGTGATAAATGTTGTTGCACACAATATTAATAGTTGTATCTAGTGGTATTGAGGTCAATATTGCAAAATTTTCAAATTTCGCTAATGACACTGCCAGGCTATTTGTTAACAATTATCCATGGTATTATATGCCTCCTACTCTACATAAATACTTCATTCACGGGCCAGAAATTATAGCGCTGGCACCATTGCCTATTGGTCAGCTGACTGAAGAATCTCAGGAAGCCAGAAATAAGGACTTCAAAAGCTATAGGGAGCACTTTTCGCGTAAATCCAGTCGGGAAAATACAATAGAAGACGTGTTTAATAGATTTCTTTTAAGTTCAGATCCATTTATTTCAAGCAATTTGAAGAGTTGTAAAAAGAATAAAGAGCAAATGCCGCAGTCTGCATTGGAGTTACTTGTTCTTCCCCAAAACGAAAATGATAATGGTGACGAAGAAGATGAAGATGATGAATATGATGAAGATTAAGATTATTTTAACGAATTTTACCATGATTATGAAGTAAATGATGATTATGAAGTAAACTAATTTTATGATGATTATGAAGTAAATGATGATTACGAAGTAAATGATGATTATGAAGTATATAATACTTTTCAAATTAATGAAATGAAGTAAATAAAAATACCTTACAATTAAGTTTTTTTTTTTAAATATTTTTTTCCTGCAATGGTTGTTTGTTTTATTTTTATATTTTGTTTATGAATATTTGTCAATAAGAAATAATAATATTTTCTAATGTAACTTTTTTAAATTTGTGGAATTATGGAATTTGAAGAAAAAAAAATCGGATTTTAATTTAAAATTTTGCTAATTTAAATACATATTAAATATTTATTAATTTATATTTTTCAAAAACACAATTTTTTTCTAAAAGCACGTTAAGTAAGCTCTAATTTTCAATTGCATTTACTAATTTATCGTTTTTCTTTCCAAACTTATAGCGAAAATTGTGAAATAAGACCTTTTTTTCCAAAATACAAAAAAGCCCATAAAAGATTAAAAAAAAATTTTTTTTTATTATTTTTTTTTTTTAATTATGTTTTTTTATGTATTTATGAATAACCATCAATAAAAAATAATAATATTTTAAAATTACGGCTTCCCTGAATTAATCGCCACTTTGCATACCGTTCAACCCACTGTGCGCTGGGCGAACACTAGTTTTAATAAATGAATAATGAATTAGCCCAATTATTTTCATATCACGCATATAAATCTGTGGCATTTTGTTAAGTAAAGGCGTGAGGACCAAATATTTAATTTTTCGGGACCACTTCAGAACTATTTAAGAATCATTTCGTGACTAGTTTCGAACTTCCCCGAAATTATCTCTACACCCAAAATCGTCCTGAAGTGGCTCTGAAAAAGTTGTGAACTAGGCCCGAAAGGATTTCGAACAAGTCTTGAAACGGTCCCGAAATTGTCCCTTATTAGTCCCAAATTTATTCCAAACAAGGCTCAAAATAGTCCTCAAATAGTTCGCAACTATCCCCGAAACGTTCCTGGACTAATTCCAAAATTACACTGAAT